ATCTAATGGTATGGAAACGATAATGTCTCTGACTGTCCCATTTATAATTACTACTATTTATTCTCTTTACTTTCATTCTACCGTAGATAAATCCTTTTAACTTTAGATAAAAATTAATTAAGCACGCGCAGAAATAGTATTTTTAGTAGGGCAAAGTGCCGTACTAAAAAATACTATTTCTGCTATTGGGCTATTGTGCTATGCTAAGGCCTGTGATACTTCTACCTACATTGATCTATTGACAGACTATTTCTGTATGTAAACAATACAGTTGCAGTATATCTCCGAATAATAATACACTAGGAATGCTCGCGACTTCGAAAGCTTTTAAACCGTTATACATTGATGATAATCAAACGAGAATATTAAATAAAACATGCATAATAATGCCCTTTACTATTATTTAGTATTAATAAATTGAGTACAAAATTGTAGGAGTCGCTTTAAAAATGTTACATTCAAATTTTAATTAAAAACATTAATTATTTTACCATTTTCTCTCGCTTTCTTAAGGCATAATTAACACCACATTTTATCAAATTTCATCCTAATTCTTGACGCCGTTATCAAGTGAAAACTTTATAAACCAACAAACAGATATTTGCGTCGTCACGATTATAATATAGGTAGTTATGAGAAATTCTATACTAGTTGCCAACTTATTATATGCTTCAATGTTTATATACTTTAATATTGCAGCTCTATAAAGTTGAGCTACTTAGTTTTTGGCCATGCATATCCACTTTTACGTTGATTCCGCTTCTATAATTAAGTTTTTTTAGTGTTGGCACGTCAAAATTCGCGATACGATCGGGTTATGCAAGCCAATATAACAATCTTCATAAAGCATTGTGAGTATCAATGCTCTGAATACAGTTGACTCCTCCAGAATGGCAACTCATGAGCAGTAAGTGGACCCTCAGTTTCTTTGCCTTTACAATTATATACAAAAATGTATGTATGTGTATAATAAGAATAAAAAACTCGGTTGTAAACGAATTATTGATTTTACTTAGTAGATCTTATGACTTATTCTAGGCGCACTAGGTAACTATATATAGGCGAGTCGACTTAGTTCTGCCGACTTCGACTAGTTGGCTAAAGTTAGTAATTCGTTTTATGGCAATTGCGTAAGGTTTTACAATAAAATACCAGAGTCTGTTATAAATCTGCCAGAAAAAAGATTTAAATGTCAAATAAAACAGTTCCTTTGTAAAAAAGCTTACTATAAAATTGAAGAATTCGTTAACGATAATAATGTTTTTATAGAAAAACTTTAAATCTATAGCACTGACAATATTATCTGATTACATTAATAATGAGTGCGTAGCGACTTCTATGTTGATTATCGCATGCCTCTTACTTGATATACTGTAATTATTTATATAACAAAAAATCTATTAAAAAGAGCACCACACAAGTTTCTTGCTCATTCTTCTTGTGATGAATCTGCATTCCGAATCACTCATTCGGAATGCATATTCATCAAAGTAAAAGTAGAATCAAAATATGACTATTCAAAAGTGCTTGTAATGAGTTTATTTGAATAAAGATTATTTCTATTTCTATTTTTACGAGTATAATGTGTTCCAAATATAAAGTATAACTTTAAATTATAAAGCAGAAGTGACGTTCTGAGTTTACATAGATTTTACATAAATCGCTATACGAACAAGGTCAAAAACTGTAAGAGAAAAAAAACAGGTATTTTAAGTATAAAATATAAAGAGGAGATCAAACAACGGCGCAGGATGTTGTGACCACACGTGCATAATTATACAAGATAATACATTTTTAAATTATATTAAACTAGTTAGAAGCGAGTGTTAAAGCCTATAGGACTTCTATACTATATCTTCCTTATTTAATACATATGACCATATGTGTACATGAACATATAGGTGAAAATGGACTGTGCGACTGCCACACACGCGCCTGTTAAGTTGAAGTGGTATATTTTATGTAAACTATATTGTGTAATATGTAATTTGTTGAATAAAATAAAAAAGATAAGTACTGTGATAATTCGTATTTGTATATCGGTGTATGTTCTAAAATTTAGATTTTAAGTTTTACACATATTCAATATCTGCTGTTCCTAGAAAAAACAATAATAACACCTATTAATAGAGACAGGTACCTATTAAAGCATTGCGTATGGTCACCCCAGTGCAGGATCGTGAGTTCGGAACAGCGTACGGACGTGCGCGGGAGTATCTCACGCGATCGCGTCGTCCTGTACGGATGCTATCGTGAGGTCACTATGTCGGTCACTTGACATTCCCTCGTAGTGTCCCTTATCATTTCAAATTTGTCTATAAATAAAGACTAACCACATTGAAATACTGCTCGCCTAAATTAAACTTAGGTTTGTTAGAAGCTTAATTACAGTTGTTAAGTTTTGCGTTTGTAAATAAATAATAAGAGACGATTAAATAAGTATTACCTTATTAATTCTATTCAGAAAAACTAAGATGTACTTAAAGGTAATTAACAGGAGAATGTTGGTGACTTGCATAAAATAATATTAAGTTAGAACCTTACATCATGACAATTAAGTATTTGTATTGTATTGGACTAACTAATCTATAAACACAATCCTTTAAAAGTTTAAACGACTTTGTATACAGTATAACTATATCACTATATTAGCATTTTGAAATTAAAGTCAAATTAATATAATAGTTATAACTGTTTCCCAAAAATAGGAAACATTGGGCCACTTATATGACTTAGGTTTACTCTTCGTCTGTAGATGTGTAAAAATATTTTTTAAGGTATTTAGATTGCTTTTATGAGGTAGCCATCGTACTAATGAAGATTTATTTTCTGATTGTCGAATGAAATTCCCACAAGAATCCTGATAAAAGGCCCAGCGCGAGGAAATTTACTAATTTTATAAAAGTTTCGCGGCAAACCTTTAAAATATTTTAGTTTTTTACTGTATGTAATGTAACATCACAAAAAGCTATAAAGTAACAGTATCAATCAGTCTATTATTGAACTCGTAAAATGTCGTATTACCAATCCTATAGCATACACATCTCACAATGATTTATTACTCTCATAATGAGTTATTTATATAGCTCCGTACATTATAAAACATGTGACGTAGTAGATTTCAATTAAACTGCCACTTAAATGAATACACAAATTAAGTTTGCTACAATTTAAATAGGACCGCTAATCAAAGGACGGTAGCTCTGTGAAACGAGCGCAATAAATCTTCAAAAACCAGAAGATTCAATTACACGGCTACCGGAAGGCAAGAAAAGTGGCATTAACAAATTGTCCAAGATAAATAAAACCTTTTTAATCAACAGAAGAGTTCCCGAACGGGTTCCTCTTATCGTCGGTCGTCGGCGTTTTTTCGAGAAATTTATCGAACAGTTAATGTACCGACCAAGAATTAATTGGTCTCCATGAGTGAAAGCATTGCCGCTCCTAAATTGTAACGCCCGAAACACTTAAGAATTAAAGATGGCTATAGATAAACTCTTCTACTCTACTTGGAATTATCTGATCTTTACTTTCGACGACGTTACACGCATAACACCTATATACAATTATACATACATACATCACAAGTCCAACTCAAATAATTACTGTAATAGGTAGGTATTTATCGTAGACGTTAACGTTTTTGTTGTTATTCATCCATATCTGCATAAGTGGTTTTCCTGTAATTGCTTCTTTATTTTATATTTACACTCGCAGTATCTATCTAATATCTGGTTAAAGCTATTTAATTGCAGGTAATAGGTATAATAAAAACGTAATATTTTTTATTTCTATACAGCTCTTATCCGCTGCGCAACTGTGACTAACTACAAGATGAGGCATGTACGAATAAATGAAATTATTTAAATTTGTTTGTTCCTTTTCAAACTGTGCATCGTCCCAAATCTGCCAAAAGGTTATACGACCTTAAATAAATGGCGAAACGGAGTCAACATTCATCCCAGCATCTAAATCGTGTTATCTATCGGCGGCATCCGTGCGACTACTGCATGCCGACACGACGCCGCCGTCGCATGTATAACCATGACAAACGCGATCTCGACCACTATTTTGCACGTGTACATACAAAAATGAAACATATACTATAGAAATCCTTTTTGCTAAATAATTGGGTTCATATTAGTATATTCTAAGTACTTTGCTAACGTTGCCAGCAAGTTTACTTCCAACCCTATTTGGTAGAAGGTAGATTGTCTCAGTTAGGAAGTGACATGACACCTTCGTCGATCGATGAAGCGTGTTGCTATTCCTGTACTGTTGTTATCATGGTATTGTTGAAAGTAAGTATTATATTTACGTTAACGTCTTGTTTTATTTCCTTTTCATGTTCTGTCTTTTATTTTGTAATAAACATTACTATGACCGACGAAACAAATAAATCAACATAATAAAAATATTTTAAATGATTAGGTCGGTTTACAGATATCATTAAAGGAAATTATCATTATCATTAATTATCAAAAACGAATGGCAACTATTTAATATAATAATCATTTAGTAGTCCCATTGGTTAGCAAATGTTGTGAATCAGTATGTATGCAATCATTTACCCCCTCACGATGAGAAGAGATGAGATTGGAATATCATAAATGAAAAAACTATCTAACCTATCTGTATAAAAAATTACACTTAGAAATAAAACCATATAACTATTTAACTATATACAATTAGAAATACTTTCGAATATAAACTCATATAGACAATATCTCTTTACTCTTATCAGTGTTTCTCAATGTACATTTTAAATACTTTGACGTCATGGATAATGTTTTTAAGTTCTTAACTCAGCTGTATAAACGAAACTGAAGCATTTGAATTTCCGTCGATAAAAAGCACGTGCCAAGACTGAATATATTATAGTTCCACAATAATATCGGTCTAACGTGTCTTAGGTAGTACCTAAATATAGTAGTCACAAAAGCGCGCGGCACGCCCAGTCAAGGTTTAAGAAATTAATAGAATTTTCCAAAATATCAATCATTACACTTAACAATACTGTTTTCCATCTGAACCGTCAAAATAATTTACAACCAAATGATAAGGCAACCGGCAAAAAGATAAAAGTGATTCAGCTCTAGATTAAAATATAGATTAGTACGATAAAAGCAGTTGCAAGTGGCACGCGTATGAAATGTTATAACTGTGCTCCAGAAATGTTTATGTTGATTTGGAGTATTGCGGTGTTATTGCCCTACGGTAAGTTTCAATATTCAGTATTATACCTGGAACGCTGTTAATTTCATGTCATCGCTTGTGTTTTTAGTAATAAACTTTTTTACGCGCGTAAATGGTTAAGACAATGGTGTTAAAACGTGAAAATCTTGTGTCCACTTAAACCCATTGCCACAATACACATATCGTTACAGTTTACGTAACATAAACAGAATATATCTATGTATACATATAAGTATTGTCTATAAGTGTAGTCCTCGCTCACGTGAGCGGATTACATCAGAATCTTTTAATTCATTCCGTTGGGTATGAATGAATGAGACCGATCGCCCGCGCGCCGCCACTAGCTGCCAAACAATGGTTACCCGACTCATCTCGCCTCGTATTGCCTCTGGATAAATATTTATTTATTCCACTGTTGACAAACGTATTTACATTGTCAATGCGCGACTAGGTATGTCACGACACGACGCGTGGGTGACAATTTTATGTTGATCATCACAAGCTTATGAATTCGGGTCATTGCTATGGGTAACAAAAATCGTGATAAAAATTAACACCTATGGTAGGTACCTAATCAGACTAGTTGAATAGTTTTATTATATTGTAGTTGTAACCTAGTTGAATTTCCATTAAGCCAAACAATTGTGAAACAGATCATAAATGTGATCATTTTAATAACATGTATTATATATATTTACTTATTCGTTCTAACATTAATAGGACCTTAGTTAAGAAACCAGAGAATGAATTTAGGATTCCATCATACTATACTGTGCTCTCTTCGTGCTATTATAAAACTATGTAAACTAAATAAGAATGTGTCCGCAGCACTTATACGTTGGATTTGAATAAGGACATTTTTATATGGTTTTGTGGCGTATGCGTTTAATCAATGCACTGAACGATATCAAGTAACACAGAACATAGAAGATCTGTATGGTTTGCTGATTGCATCTGAGAAAACGACAATGTGTAATTAGAGCTGGGTACCTACCAATAATATTTGGATATATATTATTTATTAAATTACTTTTTTTCTTTATTAAAAATCTTCGCTATTTATTTATACATATAGTATAAATAAATTGCGAATAATAATACGAACGACTTAAAATATCGGCATATCAACGTAATAATAATTAAATATAAAATACTCAATTGCAAAAACTGTAAGAAGGCTTTTTGCCGTTGCCACTTAGGTGTATCTAGTAATGCGACATAGGCCTACTGTTCCTACTGTAAAACATTTTACAAATATAAACATATTCGCTTAAAATTTCTTATAACCACACAAGTCCGCACAATTATGTCACATGCCTATCAGACACTTTCTCACACCTCGATCAACGGATCATTTTACGCATCACCGGATAGACAAAAATCAGCAGCGAAATACATTCTGTTAAGTAGGTAACTAAAGAGTAGTATTCAATATTTTATGGCATGTAGAGTTACATAAAAACAGAAAACTCAATGAAATAGAAAAAAATAGAAGAAAGCATAAGTAATAAGTATGGCGATTGACAAATACTCCCGAAAATAAACAAACTTGTTGATTTATTAAACTATTTGCTGATGACAATATAAAACATTACATACCGGTCCTCCTTAGGTTCTTAGTTTTTTTTCTATATCTTACCTTACCACTAACTACTTAAATCTGCTTATTCATAAAGAGTTTTAAAACGACCACGAAAATTTAATCTTAAAAAAATCTTGGTGAATATAATCAGAACATCTTGACAAATAACGGCAAATAATAATATGCTCAAAACTGAACTTAAATCAAAAGAAAGTAGGTGCGATCGGCTCAAAGCGAACCGGGCGGCATACACATACCGACGCATCGAGAGCATATTCCCTTGCTTCCAATAATTACATATCCGAGAGTGGTTCTGAACGACGTCTGATGGCCGGTAAAATGGCGCGAAACGCGAGAAAATGACATATGATTGCGACGTTTAAAACAAACGTAAACCGCTCCCTGGAGTGGTCATCATTACACGAAGAACAAGAACATCGATTAAGAACGTCGCACACGATCGATTCAATAATCTTAAATATAATTACAGCTAAATATTTGCACCGTGGTTTAATGCCTAATGACTTGCAAATTGTATCGATTTGTTGCAAAGTAAATAATACCACAAATGTATATGTAGCCCTTATACATTTTATTTTTTTTATTGACTAACAAAAAAGTAGGACTTCAAAATACCAATCAATTCATATATTTACTTACATATTAACACTTTAATGATATGGCTCTGACTGAACATATCTCACGAGGCAGAATCTGGATAGATTCTCAAATTAAGCAGAGTTTGTACTTACTATAGACACTAAATATATATATTACTCTATATGACAGTAATATATCGTAATAGTCGATTCTTATATTTCCACATAAAAAGCGCCTGCACAAACGTCGTAAATTCAATCCCTGCAACATAGTTAAGCATTGTAATATTTTAGTAAGGGCTGCAGCAGCAAAAGGAAACGTGATTGCTTAATTAGCTTAAACTAATTGTTTAAATTACATTTAAAATATTAATCAGTTAATAGGTATAAGTATTCAAGAACATGAACCAGTTTTATCCAACGGTAAATCTAATATACATACTGTCAATCTAATAGACATACTGACCACGTGGTCAGTATGTCTATTAGATTGATACGAAATTATACCATAAAAGTATAAGAAATTAACATTAATTAACTTAAAAAAGTTTACCTAAAATATTTTATACATAAAAATCAGAACTGATTTTATGTGTGTGTTCTTACTTTCATTTATGTGGATGAATACAATAAATATACCGATCCTTTGCGCAGAAGTAAAACAATCCTCCTCGACTAGACTTCTATATCTACTCAGGCCTTGTCAATATTTTAAGTTATCATTAATAAAATATTTGTAGTTCTACCGACGAATAAAGTTGAGATTGTAGTAATTAGAATAATAGTTTTTAGCCATTCAGTATCTATCAAAATACGGAATTAAATAAATCTAAAAATAAATAAATAAAATAAACTATATTTTTTTTTGCCGCAGTTCAGTAGATACCTATTCCCCATAACATTTACAATATAAAAGCGTCAATTCTCTTATAGTGGCATCCGAGAGCTGTTTCCACAAACGTTGCCTCAGCTGCCGGCCTGAAGAAGTATTCTCGCCTGGCGCCCCGATAGAATGCCACCCAAGTAATTGGGTGTCCCCAGAATGGGTGTTTAGGCATGGTCACCCACCTCCATCTACGAGCTCTAAAGTACCCATAGAGTACAGATGTTTGAAGATGGTGGCGACCCCAGATGATAAAAGTAGTAAGTACCTACCTTATACTGATTGCGGAATATTACGTACTGTATAATTATTGAATACAAAACGCAAGCAAAAACACTTGGTGAAACATATAAAGAGCAGGGGTGACTTTCCTTTATACTACTTACCTACTATGTTAACTGTTATAGGCTAGTAAGTTGTCTAGGTAAACGATAAATAAATAAAGAATACGAATGTCTAAACAATTTCTTATTTTGTATATAACAAATTGGCGACGATATGACGGACCCTGAAGTAAAAAAACCCAAAAGGGTAAGAGCATCTTTACGAGGCATGTTGACAAAAGTAGAAAACTTCCTAAATACGCAGGAAAATTTCTCCTTAAACTACTACTAGAACTAGATACGAAGTGTTAAATGTTAAACGACACAATGAAGAAAATTCAAGAAATACAAAAAGAAATTGAACAAGAAACAGAAGAGAAAGATTTAGAAACCGAATGTACTTATAGGTATGAAATTGAGGAACTGGGTATGGAAATAAAATTATGTATTTTAGAACACAAAAAAAAGATTTCATCAACTGTCACGGCAAATAATTATTTAAACTCAACAATATTTATTGAAACCCCTACATGCTCCGGCACTACTTCTAACCAGATACCATTTAAAATGAATTTTCAACCGCTACAAGATAACGAAACCTTTAAAAATTTTGTAAAACGGTAGTCAGTTTACTTTCTTTTAAACATGATCACAGATCCGAAAATGAAAGTATACATATTACTCTCAACACTACGCCCTGAACTCCATCAGATCATTAAATATGGAATTTGAGGAACTTACACAGATTTTAGAAAACGATATTGACCCTAAACCCAGTATTTGGGCAATGTAATATACTTTCATATCACGTTTACAGCAACACGACGAAACAATAACTACATATGCGTCAGAACTTAAAAAACTCTCTGCGAACTGCGAATTCAAATGTCACGAATGCAAAAAACCGAACTTAGAGAGCTTTTTATGCTTACAATTTATTAGAGGATTAAAAGATGGTGAAATTCGCTCTAAAATCCTTCAAGAAAGGGATACCCCTAAATTCTCAAGGCTAGTTCAAATTGCCACGTCTATAGAAATGAGTAAAAATGAAAACTCTTCAATGACTTTTGATACTCGAAATCACACGGATTCTATCAATAAGATACACCATCCATATCAAGAATGACAGATCAATCTTCTACAGCACGAATATCAGGAAGGCTTATAAATCCTACTATCCATGACCTCAACGGAAAATGTTTTCGCTGTGGTAAGACAAACCATAAAGCTAACGAATGCGGAGCTATCAAAAGTATCTGCCGTAATTGTCAAAAGGAAGGCCACCTAGCACGTGTCTGTGTACAACGTAAAACAAAAACAAACCAAATCGACACTACGAGTAATATAAGCAATGCCAGCTTAGCTGATTAAAATAAAAGTTAATTATATTAACTTTTATTTTAATTAAATTAAATTAAAAGAAATTATATTAAAAGTGAAACGACCGAGAAATACATGATTACGTTAATTATTGAAACCAAGAAAATTCAAATGGAATTCGACACGGGAGCTGCACTTTCGTCAATGTCAGTTAAAGATTTTAATAAGTTGAAATTAAACAAAAAAATCTACAAAACTAATATTAAAATGAAAATTTACACGGGCGAAAATATTGAACCTTTAGGAGAGGTGTACGTGAAGTGTACGTATCGAAATCATGCATTCAACGGTAAACTTTATATTATTAATCAGAACGTGGACCCTATTTTTGGTAGAAGTTGGATAAAAGAACTGGACACTTGTAACCTAGCGGATATACGAACAATAAATATAAATAAAATCCATATAAAATTAGATCAAATATTAGAAGAATTTGAGTCTACCGTATTTAAATCTGAACTGGGAAAAATTTCTAATTACAAAGCCCACTTACATTTGATTGAAAACTCCTTACCAATATTAATAAAACCGAGAAGAATTCCCTATGCACTTAAAACCAAAGTCGAAGAAGAAATTGATCGCCTTTGCACATAAGGCGTAATCACGAAGATTGACCATTCCGATTGGGGAACACCAATTGTACCCATAGTAAAACCAAACGGAACCATACGTCTATGCGCTGATTACAAAATTACATTACATAAAGTAATTAAAAACGAACAATACCCAATACCGATTATTGAGGATATCTTCTCAGAAATGAACGGAGGTATTTTTTTCTGTACACTTGACATCACACAAGCATACCTAAATATGGAGATGGACGAAGAGAGCGCACTCATGCAGACTCTAAGTACACACAAAGGCACATACAAAGTAAACAGATTAATGTTTGGAGTGAAAGTAGCCCCCAGCCTATGGCAAAAATTCATGGACCAATTGCTTTTAGGCTTATCGGGTGTCAAGGTGCTTCTTTGATGATATAATTATACAAGGAAATACGGAAGAACAACTACTCCAACGATTGAAACAAGTATTACAAAAATTAAGAGATAACAACCTGCGAGTAAATAGAGACAAATGTCACTTCTTGAAACGAAGTATAAACTATCTCGGTCATACCATAGATAAGGATGGCCTACATAAAAATAAAGAAAAGATCAAAGCCATCACCGACGCAGACCGCCCCACAAATATAAACGAATTACGGACCTTCCTCGGAATGGCAAACTATTACACTAAATTCATACCGAATTTAGCATCTATTTTGAACCCACTGTACAAATGACTAAAAACAGGTAATTCACTTAGTCATCACAATGCGAAGAAAGTTTCAAAAAGATTAAAGAATAAATCGACGCAACGAAACCCTTAATAATAGCTACGGACGCCTCGCCGGTCGATCTCGGAGCCGTGCTATCTCATAAAATGACAGATGGTTCAGAAAGACCGATAGTATTTGCTTCACGATCTCTGACTAACAGCGAAAAGAAATATAGCCAGATAGATAAGGAAGCTACGACTATATACTGGGGCCTAAAAAAGTTCTTTCATTATTGTTATGGCCGAAAATTCACTCTGGTAACAGATCATAAACCTCTGACATCAATCTTCCACCCACACCAGACATTACCCGTATTAAGTACAATAAGATTATTTCATTATGCACATTTTCTTTCCGTCTTTGATTACAAAATTGATTACAGAAGCGCAACAAAACACTCGAATGCAGATGATTTATCTCGATTTGCCGTAGAAATAGTAAAAAATAATAACATTGATGAACATTCTGCTTTTCAATTACAACAAATGAATATTTTAGAAATATGCCCAAAAACAATTGCTCGAGAAACTAAAAATGACCCAGAACTAATAAAATTACTCAATACATTGAAAAGCGGTAATTCTATAATACAGCATGGATTTAAAGACCATGAAGTGACCCTTCAAGATGACTGCATCATAAAAGGAAGTAGAGTAGTAATTCCCCGCACTCTACATCCACGAATACTGAAAGAATTACACGCCGGACACATAGGTATCTTAAAAATTAAATTACTTGCAAGAAGTTATGTATATTGGAAAAACATCTATAGAGACATAGAAATCACAGTTAAATCATGCAGAGGTTGTTGTCTAATACAAAACGAGCCAATCAAAGCCCCTCTACATGACTGGGAGGAGCCATCTGGACCATGGCAGCGTATACACATAGATTTTGCTGGACCCATATCAGGCCAGCAGCTGTTCATCATAGTACACAAAATGGATAGAAATTATTCCCACGAAAATAACCACCAGTACATGGTGCATCCGACAACTGAAAGAACTATTCTGTACATTCGGTGCACCTTACTTATTAGTTTCTGATAATGGCCGTCAATTCGTATCACAGGAATTCAAAAACTTTTTGTCTGATTGTGGCACAGAACATAAAACATCAGCACCGTATCATCCAGCTACTTTAACGGTTTGTAATCTCTGCTTGTCCATCAAGCAGAACGATTACAAACCGTTAAAAGAGCCTTAAGTTCCATGTAAGGCGAGGGCGGTACTCTCACCGACAAACTATTAGTGGTAAAAGCGCGTTTACGTCGAACCCCTGGATCTAATACTAAACGCCTTACCAGCTTATGTTCGGAAGAGACATCAGAACCCAATTACATATCATGACACGACAACCATACGGCAATTACAACTAATGTAGAGATCGATCCTGGCCGAGAATTTGTAGCGGGTGACCGTGTACAAGTCAGGAGTTATGCAGACCATGGGCGGAAATGGGAATTCGGTAGAATGTTAGTGCGATTAGGGCGCCTACACTACAAAATAAAGATGGACAACGGTTACATTTGGCACCGTCACGTGAACCAGTTGCTGTCGGCACCCTGCATACAACATCTAGGCTAAGTGGGGAGGACTGTTATAGGCTAGTAAGTTGTCTAGGTAACCGATAAATAAATAATAATACGAATGTCTAAACAATTTCTTATTTTGTATATAACATTAACAAAATAATAGAAGTATAGCATAATTTTATTTTGTTTTTCAGTCAGTAACACAGTAGACGTCATCAAAGGCTGCGTCCCAAAGGTGCAAGTTGATTCAGTTTGTCTCGGTTTAGAAGCAGTGGAGAGGTCTCGAGGCCATAGTGACGCTCGATGCTACATCTGTAACGGAAATAACTGTAATACAGCCATCCGTGAACACTTATCATTTTCTGTCCCACTCGTCTCCTTGATATTGTATTATGTGTTAAGGTGAAAGGAATATATTTTCTAAATAGAATCCGCATTGGTCATTTTCTGTCATTCTTTCACATAAATTGTCAACAAAAAAATGAATTCTTTGTTTTATCTGTTCTCATTATCATCATTCATAGAAATTCATTCCATTGAGAGAAAAGAATATGTACGAATGGTACCAGTCGAACGCTAGCCATAAACGTGTGATGCGGAAGAAGGAAGGAATGCGTTTAACAACAATGGACCACCGAATAAGGAATTTAAATAATTTATATTAATATATAAAGTATTTTATAAAAAACTTAGAAATCTTGTAGGAATACGGATTACCACTGAGTGGTAACCGATACCATGTAGTCAATACCATTTTTATATGCGTTGTTCAAATTTTTTCGGATACCAAAAAAACCTTTAGTCGAATTAAATAGTATACATTATTTTTCAATGCGGTATATATTCCAACACGCATTTTATGTCAAAACGCTGATTTTGTCACTTCTGCATACTTGTTACATTAACTATTATAATATAGCAAATACTATTTTGATAAATTATTTTGTATTTTATATTTTACACAATCTACTTATTTACTACTTAATATTTTATTTAATAAAATTCGGTGAAAAGTGTATTTATTTTCCTTTTATCACCCAATATTTTGTAACAACCAATAAATAATTCCTATTTATACATATTTTATCAGAACATTACATCGCATTTAGTGCTATATTGTATAATCAATATTATTTGCCTGAAAATATATACATATAACCCTGATTCTTGGGTAGGGTATAATATTTATAGAGCACGTAGTATGTAATTGTATAAATAAACAAATAAAATATACTTTATTTTAGAGGATACTTCGGAATATTATAAAATAATATCTGAAACAACATAAATTAGGTTTGTACAATTTATTTTGTAAATCATTACAGGGAAACCAACGACTTCATATTAATTAATGCCACTGTACATAAATAGCAAGACTATTTATGGTAAATATTGAACTGGAGATTTTAATATAAAGTGTCTAATAAGTAACAACTATTTTGCAAACAGCATTTGCAACTTCAGAAAGTATATAATGTAAGAAATATTGCTGCTGTAAATTATATAATATTCTCTAGATGTACATATATAGCACATACTAATTGCTTATATTTAATTACTAATTTAAATTGAAATTTCGTTTAAGCGTTTGCGTACACAAAATATATTGAATCTGCAAGATATATTGAACAAAATGAGTGAAAAATATGTCTCTAGACATAATTTAGACATAAAAATATATAATTTAGATACACACATAACGATAAACTTAGCTAAAATATAATTAGTTAATTTTAATATACATAATTATATCACCGTCTTTTCACAATATATATACATAACATTAAAAGGAAGATTCTGTTTCACTGAGATTCTGTAAATTATAATATTAAATTTTACACTTAATTCTTTATAATGTAATTAATTAAATTTAATACACAAAAACATAGTCATCAGCCAACAATAATTCACAATAAAGCTCAACAGGCAGTGTTTAGTTTATGTTCACTTTCATATGAATATTAAATATAAGGTATAATATTAATATTTTATTAGCTATCTCTCAATGGACATAAAATTGTCTCATAAACTTTTCATTACATCGTAGTAAGTGAAATTTGAAACAAAATAAAATGTTATATCAGGCTGTTGGCCAGTGTGGCCACTCTTGATAACTACGGACTAATTAAATACTAAATTTTTAGAGCCGTACACAGAATCGTAACTTTTTGATATATGGCGAGTAAATACTATTTAACCTAAATTAATGGAATGGATAGTGAGTAATATTATGTATAATATTAAATAACAGCACTCAAAATACTGAAACTTAATTAATAACCACTTGGAGCCTGCGCAGACAAGGAATCTATTGGGATATAAAAGACTTATTACAAATTTATTAATTAATATTTCTCATTACTTATTATCAACGAATAGACAAAATTAGTAATTCTAGAAACATAAATTTGGAAAAAATATAATTCATAACACAATATGACATACATAATACCACCGGTAGTGTATATTCTATTTGTACAGACAAAAATACACCATGAATTGTCCCTCGTTTGCGCAAGTCCTTATATGTGAAGCCAATTCACTGTATCGGTCTCTAATAAATCCAATAAAACATTTAAAAAATCAAATCTTAAACTACGATACACTAATGTAAAAATATTAGTCTGTGCTAACGTGAACGTCCTACAAAAAATTGCCATGACTGCAGAAATAACCAAATATATTTGAATATTCATGGTTTCATAAACCTAATACATATAATATATAAAGACACAATTAATATGAGACTAGATATTCTTTTCAGAATTTCAAATATATTTTAAGATAATACACCTACGTTCATCAACTATATAGTGATATGTCGTGATCATTATATCTAACAATTACTAAATTTATTCGATCATAACATTGAGTACATAAGTAATTACAAAATACAAATAATATAAAATTTCAACTCATAAAAGCTTTATAATATAATAATAAGAAACAAACTCCTCATAATGACTGTTGTAATTGTTTCTTGTAGAGTTTCAAATCAATTATGTAATATAAAAGGAGGATTTAATATTCGTTTTTACGATCGTAACCATAAAACGTATTTAAGCATATTACGGTAATTAATGTTTGTTGATCGAGCTACGTTTTATATGCTTACTTTGAACTATTAACTGAATATCACAGGCTTTTCCGCGTATATATAACTCATAGAACGTAATCATTCATTCATTATAATAAACATATAATGCACAATCTATGACATAACACTGTCATGATATCCAAAAGGAATGGAAGCGCCTAAGAAATAAAATTTTAAAATAATTGATGCAAAGAGGCTGAAGACTAAATAGAGATTATTATATTTTAAAAAATCAGTAACATGTTATCACACAGTGTGTTTATTAGTCATAGCCGACAGTAACATTGTAGTTGTCAGTTAAGTTTGTTTCTGAACTAATGTAGTTAGCTCAACAGACCAGTAGGGAGATAAAAATAAAATTTTACCTGAATGCAAAAAAAATCCATATGAATACTTTGACTTTGCTGTATATATAGTTATATAACCAAAAGATGAATAATAAAATGTATTCATATCATACAAACAAATTCGATTCTATTAAAGACTCAAACTTGTTACTATCAAAATTAATTAGGCACATATTTTTAAAATGCAGTGACAGTCAACAATTGTTATATTAATCATAGTATAATTATTTTTAAATAATTACAATTTGACTTTTTTATTAGATTTTTCTATCATCTATATCATTATTATCAGTAAAGTGATAGAAAAATCCAATAAATGCAATGGTTCCAGAGATTACCTTCCACATACAAAAAAATCACAAAATTCACTCTCTAATTAAAATATCATATATATATATATTGTATAAACTTGTAAAATATTCGATAAATATATCATTAGAGGTAAACTATATAAGAGTAATTAGGTACTTATTCAACCAATAATGCAAAATAATTGTTTTAAAAACTCTTAAGTACTAATGAACTCATATTATTTTGCATTGGGTGCAATCCGAAATTACATAACATTAATCTTTTAGTATACTTACATAATAATTCGGGGTTAATTAATTTGCATTAGATACTATTCCCTACTTATGCACTACAACTAAAAATAATTTTATCACAATTAGCGCCAAGGCACACGTTCAAAATGCCAAATTTGACCAGGATCTTTGACACATCTCTTTGCTGTTAATGGATCACCAACGCCATCTTCACTATTATTCAAAACTAACGTTAAACACAATCCACCCTTGGTCTTCAGCCGTGGTCCAGCCTGTTGCCAGGTCTGCTTAGAATTATCACTACAACTTTTCCATAAAGCCCTTCCGTTGCCTTGCTGCAGGCATAACCCTTCATCAGCCATAATCTTCCCTTCAGGTGTATAAAGCAATAATTTTTCTATATCATATTCACTGCCACACTGAATACCAGCAGCTGGTCCACCAAGTCCTGGAGTACCGACAGTAACCCCCAAACATCCACCTCTATCGTTACGAATCCTTCCAAACCATCTATCATCAGTTGGGAAAAAGTGCTGTGGCCATACGTTGTCCAAGTACCATTTAAAATTTTTACACTGCAATTTTTTTCTAAGCTCTACTCTGTCAGCTACGTTTTGCTGATCTCTAATAGCAGCAACGGAAGGGTTAAATTTAAAAAAAAAGTCCGCCCACTGGTCCATCCAGACCGTTGCTGCGCGCGCCAAGTTAGAGTTTAAAACTTTTGCAACCCCACCTGGATATTTATAAGGACTATGCCTTCTGAATATATGACCAACTCTTGAACAAGATGTTATTTCAACTCTAGCGCCGCACTGCCACGCTCTCCAAGAAAGTTCTAAATTTTCAGCTCCCCATATAACCATACCCTCATCGTAACCTCCTAAACGCCAAAAAAGACTCCTACGTACTGCAAAAAGTCCACCTGCCATGGCAGGAGTTGGATAAGGTTTGGATGGATTTTCCGATTTTTTTAATAACACTGCACCAGAAGGCATCAGCCACCGGAAATGTAGGTGCCAACTGAAAGCGCCCCAGTGAGCGTCTATACTTTTAGTATAGGCTAAAGTATCTTCAGAAAGCAGGTCGATATGTGGACAAATAAACACGTCATCACTGCCAGCTCGATCTAACAGTGGCTCCAACCAACCCATTGTTACCTGCAAGGATTTTTTTATTACATATTACTTCTAGGTATTCTAAATTAAGGTTGAAAATTGAAGGTAATTAAATATTAAGTATTCAAACTCTAAATTTTAAGAATTTTAGAGTTTTACATATATATGTATATTTTAAGAGTTCCATGGAACTAAATGGAAGCAATTAAAATAATAAAAACATTTGGTTGAAGATTAAACCAAGCTTTTCTTTATAATATAGCAGCTTTATAACTGTTTTAGCCAAGCCAAAAATTCAAAAAAACAGAATGATATAAGAACTGATCGCTACTCCATTTACGAAGATCAATATTGGTAGGTGCATTCCAAAATATAGGACAAATAAGAAATACACACCTCACAGTGAGCGTCTAGGAATACCAAAACATCACCCGTTGCATGCCTAGCGCCCATGAGTCGGGCGCCAACTAATCCTTTTCTATCGGTACTTCTTAATATTTGAACTTTCTTTAATTTATTTACAGCATCTTCTAACTCTTTTCCTAGGTATTTGCGTTCACTAGCATCGTCAACAAGAATAATCTGAAACATTTTATTATAAAATTTCATTTTAAGGAATTCTAATATCTGTTGACTTAGTATGTGATATAGTGTATAGTGAGTTTAAAGACAAAGAAAAATATTGTTTTATCAAGTGTTAAAAAATATATATTCGTATATAACCTTTTTTTTATAAACATTAAGAGAGTTATAAGAACTGTTAAAAACAATATAAATTCTGTCAACTGTATAAAGTTAAAATAAATTTAAAACTTTAATAATAATTCAGTCGCATAAGTATATATATACATACATTAATTCCAGTGAATAATTAAAAAATCAAAGCCTACAAAACAAACATATCACGCAGTATCATCTATGTTACTGCAAACACAATACATCATATATTTTTAGTCTTGGCGAGAACATGTTTCACAATTTATTTATTATGCGGAGAATGAACTTGAAACCACTCGAAGGTGTGGCAGTGTGTGCATCCGTTACATCCAAGGTCATCACTACAGTAGCTTGGCCCCGTGCCTACCAGCGTGAAAAGCCTACGAAACTCCCTTTTTAACTACAGATGGGATAGTCCAGTTCATATAATTGTATTGCAATTTACGTTACTACTTGTATACATAGTTCGAGTATGTGAACTTCATTGTCCTCATTTAATAGATCCTAATGCAATAGATATAAGGATTTTAATAATCATTTGTACTTTGATAATGACTTACTTTTTTCTATTTAAATGGTCTGTAATGAAAACACAGGAGATTACAAAAAAGAAGCAGCTACCCAGTTATTATTATTGACAAATTTATTTTCCCATAATAAAATATTACTAATATTCTAGTATAAAGGGTTGGGGTCCTGCTATTGTTACTTTAATAGTAATGTGTATGAAAATGCTTTTAATTTCCGCCAAAGACAAACATTTAACAAAGATGATTCTTCTTCTTCTTTTAATTTAAATGGCTTCCACCAAATGAGGTCGGTGATTTTGCCCAATGTCGTGGTTTGGGAGACAAAGCGGTGTGGTTTACGGTTTTAACAAAGATGATATACATTTATAGATTTTATATTAGTGGCACTAGAAAACAAAAACAAAGAAACAATGTAAAAAAAATATTTATCACCCTGACTGAGAATTAAATCCAAGAAATCACATAGGCAAAAAGCATACCTACATATTATTGTGCAGGAAGTCAACAATTAAATTACGTAGTGATACACATACCTGTTTCAGTAACTGTTCTGGAGATCGCAATATAACAGACATTACTGTTCTCATTAGAGTAGACCAGGCTTCATTATGGAAAACTATTATAACAGTTGCTGTTGGAAGATTGTCAATGTTAAACTGAACATTTCTACAACTGAAAAAAAATTAGAAAAATCACATGAGTATGAATGAAACTACTTTCACTGTAAGGTGTTCTAGATAATTAAATAAACATAGAAATTCATTACTACGGTGCTGTTAAAGTTCTTGTATAGATGACTATTACAACTCACTCTTTACCTTTAAGTGGATCTTGGAGTTGTATGCCACTCCAATTACAAAAAAAATACAACTTACCTCTCACTCCTCATATCAGGAAGACTTCTATTTATTGATATCTTATCACTAACTAAAATGTTGTAGGAATGTAAGGAGTAGAGATCACGGGCAGTAATTAGTTCCTGCTGAGACATTTGCACTGGCCTGCCGCCTTCACCAGCGCCAGGCACTGGAGCATAATTATTACTATTTATCACTTCTGTAATAAAATAAATAAGAAGGCAATTAACACCAACCTATTTCACCAATGTATACTAATATTATAAAGAGGTAAAGTTTGTTTGTTTGTTTGTTTGTTTGTCTGGGGTATTCTCCAGTTTTAAAAAATCTTTCACTTTTAGGAAGTTATATTAACCCCGAATGCTAGAGAGTAGATAACATCATTTTAATAAAAATCATCTAATCCATAAACAAAAAGCAATATAAAGAGCATTTGAGACTCCATAGATCATATATTGTAATAAATTTAAATTTGTAGGGATCACACTCTACATTTTTTATTTTCTCCTGGTCACATACACAGATTCATTCAATTAATAATTACACTGATGTGATAATATAAATGTGTAATATATTATAGTAGTAATATGTTACATAGTATTATAATGTTAATATCACTATGCAATAAATGCCATTACATACCATCAGTCAAGTTAGCCCCAGTACTGCCACCAACATAGTGGCCCACAACCACTCTCATTCCAGTTTTGTCCACATAGGAATTGTCATCAAAATGTAAGCTAAAACAAATGTTGTCATACATTATGGATCATAGAACATACTACAGATAAGTAAATATATTTATACACTAACTGACTACATATTACAATAGTACCTTCAAATCAGATCAATTATCATAGCCAGTATAATAACAATATATTTATAAAATTTTATTTATTTATCAAAAGTGCAGTATCTCTAAGAGACAGTGGTAAGTGGTAACTCCCCCTCTCTCTCCTCCTGCTCTCATTTGACTAGCTGATCAAAAGCTAAATAGTTTGTTTTTGAAGGAGCATAAAGATATTGTCTTAAATATTATGATTTTTAAATTTCTTCTAGTCAGCACATACCTTTGATACCACAGATCTTTCTCTTGTTTCCTCTTTACAGTATTGTATAACTCCATACTAACATACATCAATGCATTAATTAAAAATATCAAAATTATGATTAGTGTAATAATCTTTTTCTTCCGACCTCTGCAGAACATAGCCCAAAAATCCTGAAAAATTATGACACAAACACAATTTTCGTTACTAAACACGTTCCTAAACAGGTAATACCCTTAATTGAATGAAAAAAGAGATTACCAGAATTATCAGACCCTATTGCAAGCAATGTTACCTTGTAAGATCAATCTTATGTTAATATGACATTTGTAGAGGTATAAAAATACCAATGTAGCAATACTTATTATTATTTTTAGAGAAATTTCCAAGTGGAGATATAGAATTTCATGTAAGTATATCACTATTCATCAATACTGTAACAATGCCATAATTCAATTTTAATGTTTTAGTATTTATACATACTAAAACATAAGAAAGAAGTTATGTATATTATATAATTTGGTTTTAAATTATAAACATTTTGTACATGAAAAAAAAATTATAACAAAAATTGTCAAGCTATAAATTATTATTATTGTAGCCATCCCTTTATTTTTTTTCGTAGTAAACCACACATAAATACCGAAATTCAATAATATTATCCACAAAACTATAATTAATATATTCAATTCCATTAATTATCTAGTCTCTACTTCGATCAAATGTAATAAAAACGAAGACTGCTATATCGCAATATTTTCATTGTGCATTCAAGGGAAGTAAAACATAACTTCTTGGTTATTAATTCAGTGTATAATTGTACATTGAACATTAGAGTTTGAAACTTGAGACTTATTTTTAAAAAGTATTCGATAATTTTTTTATAATAATTTAATAACATATTGTTTGATAAATTCTTACCTTTTTCACTAACATGTTTTAATTAAATCTGTACAATTAATATTTTCACTGGCATTATTGTTAAATCGTCATTATTTCTTTAATTTTTTTTATCAATTCCCAATTAATATTTAGTATTTATTACACATTATTTGATAAATTAAATCAGACATTGAAAAAATATATATATCATTTATTATTCGTGTTGCAGTTATAAGTATCAATGTCAGTCAGTCTATCATGCAATGCAAAGGAAACTGTTTAGAAAGGTGTCACGATGACATAAATATGAATAAACTAATGATCACACAGATCACATCTGCACTGTCAAACTACTAAATTACAAATATACTTCATATTTTAACGGTAGTACCACTAGTACCATTGATTGTACTTTAAAGTACTTTTTAAAGTGGTAACATTAAACATCCTTTAGAGTCAATAAATCACAGATTAGAAATACTTTCTGAGTTATTAACACAGAAATCTGTGCTAAATAATACTCAGAAATTCAGAATGTTTATATTTGTTAACATAAAATTTCTTTAAACTCTTTCCTACATTATTGTGGAACAATCACATTTCAAATATGTCTCAAGGGAGAAATTGGAATGGACCCAGGCGAGATCCATCATGGGAGTCTAGTGGAAAGAGATACACTATTCATAAAAGACACCCACCCGGCTTGAAAGGCAAAGATATTGGTCTTTTCTATAAAAACCAAACGAGGCAGCGTGGTAAAAAGATAAAGGAATTTAAAGTTAGTACGTCTTCTGTTTGTTTATTTACTGTGTTGCCGTCCATCCAGATGGAAACATTTTAAAAGTGAAGAAAAGTAAATTTTCACCCGAAGCCCGAAAATTTGCATTAACATTGCTCATTTCAGTTGAATGGGCGGCAAAAATTTTGGTGGGTTTGTCGATTCCTCTACCTGCCGCAAAAGCATCTTTATAAAAAGTATCAATATCCACCAAGTTAATAATCTATCGGCAATACCTATACATATTAATTAATGTAGATCGTTGATGATCCTGCCTAATTAAACAGAACGAAACCGTCAAACTTTTAAGAGCAAACTGATATAAGCCATAGCTTGCAAATTATGTACACTGATCAAATTGGTTGCAGCTATCAAAAGAAAGAAAAAGAATTATCTTTGTGGAAACTTGGTCAAACTTCATTAAAATCCGTGTTTAATATATAAATTATACTATTGTACTTATTAGCCCATTCAAATTGTGAATTTGATTACCAAGATTTTTTGCTTATACAATATACAATAAAAAATTTGTGTTTTTTTTACAATTTATACGACTTCATACAATAATTTACTTAATATACTGATTATGCACAAAACATTACATACAAATGGCAGCATACACAATCACTAAATTTAATTTACAAGATACACTTATACAGAGATTATAAAAGCATTTATCACTTGGTTGACAAATATTTATTTTTGTAACTTACGTTTTAATTTCATATTTTACACGCTACATTACTTTTACTTAAACTATTGAATATAATTTCATTTCATTTCAGTTTACTTTGAACATACCTAAAACTATAGTTACTAAATTAAAAAATAAACTAGAAGTTATAGCTAAACTTACAGTTCATAACATTTCAAAAAAAGAAGTTAAAGTTGAGAATGAAATATCATCAAAAGAAAATGCAGGGTTTGAGTTAATTCAGCCAAAAAAGGAATTGCCCGACAATGATGATAATAACCCTAAAGGTCCTCTATCATGTAAAGAGTATAGAGATGACTGTGATATATTTATTAAACCAGAATCTAAAGGTCCTCTATCATGTAAAGAGTATAGAGATGACTGTGATATATTTATTAAACCAGAATCAGTATCAGTACATAATGATGAACCAAGTTCGTCTAAAGCTTCTGACTTCATACCAATCCCAACAGAATCAATAGCAAAAGAAGATAAGTCCAGAATATTGGCTCTTAGAGGTGCTGGTGACTATAAGTATGGATATGAAGATATCATCACCGGAACTTTTAATGAAAAACTTGAGGAATGTCTTTCTAATGGAATAAAAATAAATGAAAAAAACAGTGAGATCAATGACCTTAATATTGCTTTATATGAAGATTACAAAGTCATGGTCAATCGAGCAAATTATAAAAGACTAATGCAATTTAGGGAGATCTTACCAACATACAAAAAGTCAAAAGATCTCCTCAATATTATTCATGACAATCAAGTAGTTGTAATTAGTGGAGAGACAGGTTGTGGAAAATCTACACAGGTAAAAAGATTTACATGCACATTAATAGATCCCATGTTTGTTATTATATCGAAAATACATTAAACAGTTGGTAAAATTATGCTTCCATCAATTATGTTTTTACAAACACATATTATAAAAAATGGATACCTCGGAATAAATCATCAAGTGATTATAATCAAGTATAATTAATTATAATTCTTTTTTATAGATACCTCAATTAATTCTAGATGATGCTATAATAAACAAAAGAGGCGCTAACATAAAGATCCTAGTCACTCAACCAAGACGTATTGCAGCACTGTCTCTAGCTACAAGAGTTGCTGAAGAGAGAGCAGAGAAAATAGGTTCATCTGTTGGATATGCTGTTAGATTAGAAAAGTAAGTTGATTAATTGTTTTTACATACACATATAATGTACAGTGATGGATTAGTCTAGTAGCTGATACTGTTTTATATTTTTTTTATTTTCATATTATTGGAATGGTATGAATAGCATTAATATGACACTAATACTAATAATGTATTATATATAATACTAATACCTCTTGAAATAAGTAGGAGTATGCCCAACAGATACAGTTAGATGTTTAACTACTCTTTATGAGGATATTCTGCTATTTACATTTACATTTTACATCTTTAGTTACTCTATTTTTTGCATCTATACAATTAAATAAAATTGATGAGTAATTTTAAATTAACAGTATTTCCATAAATGCATATAAATTTGAATTAAATTTAAATTTAATATACTCAATATTTCATGTTATCTTCACAAAAATGATTTTGACAGATTGACCTTACCTACTCATTAAATAGTCTTTCTACTTTATTTTCTAACATATGTAATTGATTATCTACATGCATTTATATTCCAGAGAAGATTGCAGAAAACGTGGCAGTATAATGTATTGTACTACAGGAATACTTCTGGTGGATTTAGAGATTAATCAAGGCATGACTAATTACAGTCATATAATACTGGATGAAGTACACGAAAGAGACACACACATAGATTTGGCCATGTGCATGTTGAAGGAGGTCAGATAACAATAATCATCGTCATCAGTACCTATTTATTATCATCTGCTGAACATAGAACTCATCCAAATTAATCTGTAAAGTATGAACCTGAGAAACCCATATTATACATTCCTTACAACATTTTTGCAGTTATCATGCTATACAATGTCGTCCTATTCTGCTTTTCCCTGTACAAGTACTCACTATTATATGTATAATAATGCATTAATACAATTTTGTAGAATTTACTCTTTTTGCATTATATATATTAAATTAAATATATATGTTAACATGTGTTACGAACAAATAAACTATTTACATTGTGTTTGTCCTTGTTCTGCAAACTAATATTAACACACCATGAGTGATATCAATTAATTCGATCTCTCTTTAACACTAAGGGAAACCAATCTGGTACTATTCATTTATATCCTACTACTAAATTCAAGTTTCTATATTGTAGTTTAAATATTATATGTACCTTATGGCCTAACACAGTTTTTTTTTTACTTTAGATCCTTAAACAGCGCAAGGATTTGAAACTAATACTTATGAGTGCTACAATTGATGCGGACAAATTATCATCCTACTACGACAACTGCCCTATGATGCACATTGAAGGTTTGGCATATCCTGTTAAAGACGTATATTTGGAAGATATATTACAATTAACAAAATACCAACTACCTGTTAATAAGAAACTGGCTTCTAGAGGCTGGTATAATAGTAAGAGGGAAAGTAAACGTTTTAAATCAATAGACGAAAAGGAAATCCAACACAGAGCAGAAGTTGGTAAGAACACTCACTTATTGATTTTTTGTTGAATATATTAAATTATTTTGACAAAATGTGTGCAAAAATTAATTGCAACAGCATACATTGATATAATATAAATCTAAATTAATTGTAATTTATTTCAGGCCCGTGGCTGGAATCTATAAGGCATAAAATTAACGGTAATGTTTATAGGACCTTGTTGGATTCTAGAATAGAAATTTTCGAAATAGATTTGATTTTTGAACTACTTTTACACGTATGCAAAGGTGATCCAGGTGCAATCCTCGTATTTCTACCTGGTATTGGAGATATAACGAAACTCATAAAACAAATGAGCATAAGTGGGGCTTTTCCCAACTCGCGTTACAATATTTATCCGTTACATTCCAAGTTGTCTTCTCTAGAACAACGCCAGATATTCGAGAGACCACCACAGCATATAAGAAAAATAATAATAGCAACAAACATAGCTGAGACATCTATAACAATAGATGATATTGTATATGTAATTGATTGTGGTAGGGTCAAATGTACCGGACTAAATGTAGAGACTAATATTTCTACGCTACAAATAGAGTGGGTATCACAAGCAAATTTGCGTCAAAGGTAATAATATTATTACTAGCATATTTATATATCAATAGTTCCTAAATAAATTCTGCCCTAATAATATTTTGAATGTACTATCTAAAATGTACACAAATATAGTGTTCTCCAAATTATTACCAAATATGTATTATATTATATGTACGTATATGTTTTAATTCATTAATTTTAATTTAACCCTGATGTAATATGAACCATCACACAATGTTTTCTATCAAATAGATAAATAGTAACTGAATAAGGCTGAAGAAAAATAGTAACTTTTTATTATTGCAATAATTACACTATGCTTGCTATACTACGAAAGCACACGATTCTACATAACGCTACGTAATTTACATACGGCCACTTACCATCAGGTGAGACGTCAGCTTGGTTGCCTTTTCAGTTACATAAAAAATATGTTTTGATGCAGTTTTACCGTTTCAGACGAGGTCGCGCTGGTCGATGTCAGCCTGGTATTTGTTACCATCTTGTGACCTCGTATCGAGCAAGTAAACTGCCAGAACGTTTCTTGCCGGAACTTCAGAGAAGTAACTTATTAGAGCCAGTATTGTCTATTAAAAGGTTGAGGTTAGGAAAAGCAGCTGATGCACTGAAATTGGTACCCGATTCACCAGCAAGTTCAACGGTTGAGTGGGCTGTTAAACATTTGAGGCAGTAAGAAAATTTTATATTTTTCATTATAGTTATGGTATAATATTGTGTATGTAGATTAATATGAATGAATGTCATCATTATATAAAAAATATTTTAAATTTCCGTGTCTTATATTTTTTTTGTAGATACTAAACACAGGAAATCCTAGTAGAACTGGAGCTCTATTGTGCTTACTAGTTTATGAAATAAAAATCCGCAGATTTTCGGTTTATAAATCGTGCATTTGATGAAAAAATAAATATATAATAGATGTTTGTTCAATCAACCCTCACCCTTTAAGCCTCACGTAATTAATGAACGGCCCCTCTAACATAATCGATGGGATTTAGATGCGGGGCATTGGATGAAGAAGAGAGACTAACACCACTGGGTTGGCACTTAGCACGGCTGCCTCTGCATCCGTCAGCCGGCAAGCTGCTACTCCTCGCAGCACTGTTCGGATGTCTCGACCGGGCCGCCAGTCTCGCCGCCATCTGGAGCTTCAAGGATCCTTTCCTCTTGGTCATAGGTAATTGATTTCTTGAATTTGTAAGGAACATCTATTTTAGTTTAGCGTAGTTGGATTCAAATATATACCGTCATATGGAGGCGCCATTACTTATACAGTATGACATTAATACCTGTCTATGTCATGATTAGTGTTGGACCGAAACAAAAGTAAAACCTTAATTTAAAAATAATACATTAGCGGTTTATAAATTAATGGTAAAATGATAGGAGATAAACCAATTAGAAAAACATAATGATTTATTATATTAGAGAAAGTTTAATAGTAGGATACATTGCAAAAATAAAAGTAAACATTTGTCTCAGGCAAAAACTATTAATTACTAGATACATCCCGCATATAATACAGTCCGTTACGTACTGGCTATGTAAATGTATATAGGTGAAATAATGATTAAAATTAATCATGTATTTTTAAGATTATGATATACAAACATACAAAATCTTTATTAGTATTAATTCGAGTATAAGTGTGTGTGGATAATTAGATTTAAACGATCTAAAAGGAATCTGTGTCAAATCTGACCATGTCATGTATTACCTACACCACCACGACGATAGTCGACAATTCCTCTGATTATCCCATATTGAAGAAAAGTCGTGAAGGTATATTGTTATATTTCGTTAATTAGGTAAGGAACGAGAAGTGGAGGCAGCTAAACATGAACTAGCGTTGGGCGAGCCTAGCGACCACGTGGCGATGTCAGAAGCAGTTTTGCGGTGGGAAAACCTCCGAGGAAGAGATGCTCGTGACTTCGCTTACCAATACTTTTTGTCTATCAACACTCTAGAACTCTTAAGCGATATGAAGAGACAGCTAGGCGACAATCTTAGAAACATGGGATTCCTTCCCTCAGGCAATGTTAAGGCGTCGTGGGAGAACCGGAATGCAGATAACATAAGTCTGTTCAAAGCGATAGTTGCTGCTGCATTGTATCCTAATATAGGAGCTGTCGGGTAAGTTAACCATGTTTCCTGACGTATTTTTTTTATTCTACTAGAGTAATGGCATTTTTCTGAAGCATACCTTAGTTTATCTTTACTTACATACCATTATTTTCATGCGCCTAATTTACACATTATATTTTAAATTATAGCCTACTTGTTGTTCCCGCGGTTTCACCCGCGTTAAATTTCAATATAAAATATAGCCTATGTGTTATTCTAATGTATAAGCTATATTAGGATTAACAATAACATTGTTTTAGATGGGTAGGCATACGTGGGAGAAACGCTTTTAAAAAGCAAATAAGGATTAAAGTCAAAACACCAGAAGATGGGCCTGTACAGTTACACCCCAGCAGTATCATGTGCCCGCCGCCTCACAAAATGGGCCCTATTCGCATTCTATGTGACAAGCCTGGCGCTAACTGGCTGGTGTATCTCCAAAAACAACAATCCACGAAACTCTATCTACTCGATGTTACACTAGTTTATACCTTGCCGTTGCTGTTCTTCGGCGAGTTAAAAGTGATTGGTAAGCAATTACAGATGTCAATAAGACAAATATATTAATTTATTTGCAAGATACATACAGCAGCTGTACTAATAAATGACCTCCCCCTCCCCTTATACAGTTTTAGCAAATTTACCGAAAATCTGTACCATTCAGAAATTAAACCAGCAAAGAAATTAAACCTCATGCTTGCAGACATATAGTTGGAATATTATTATATTTTATAGTTAAAATTTCGATGTGTTACCCCACATAACATTAAGAAAAATCATGGGATCTTGCCACGTTTCATTTGTTATTATTGACATTCAGATATTTCACCAGTGTCACAACCGATACGGTAAAATGAAGTTCAGCGGGTGTATGGTGAATTATATTCATCTACCTTAAAACGTCTTGGTAGTGCTCTGAAGCTAGCTCGATACTCATTAAAAATTATTTTATTAGTCAACCCAATCACTGGTTTTCATAGATAGACACATACCTATCTTCCTGATTTAAATTTTTATATTTCTGTACTTGATGACTATTGGTATATGATCTCGCTCCGTTCTTAATACTAATTTCCGTATAATTCAATCCAGTGATTCAGGTAATATTCTGTGATTTTTTTTAATGGTACATGTAAATAATAATCCCGTCAATAAAACAAGTTTCAAGTTTTTATACTTAGACATAGGTTTTTATATCCTACTAATCTTCTTAGTAATAATGTGTAATCATTTTTTTTTGCAGAAGAAGGAACAGAAGAACTATGTGAAATGATAATATCAACTTATAAAGTACAATGTGTGCAAGAGACAGCTGATGTGCTTTTTGAGCTGAGAAAACTGCTGGATCAAGTTCTGGCATCCAAGATCATGGTAAATAGTACCCACGCGGAACATCACAATGAATTTGAAGACGAAGTAATAAAGTGAGTTCATTATTTTTTGAATCGCGTGTCTCTGCATACATATAATGGAAAGGTAACTTTGATCACTGTTGTAAATGGAACATACATAAGAAAAACTTTGTAGGAAACTTGATCAACGTAATAAATTCCAAAACAATTACATTTTTTTAAAGGAAATTTGATCGGCATTTTCACTGTGTGTTATTGTATTTAAATTTAGTGTTTGTTTTATTTTAATCAATTTGCAACCAAAAACTTTACACGTGTTCGGACTCGCGGGCTCATCTAGTCTAAAACAAAATATGAATGTCTGTAATGTGTTTTTTTGTTCTTGTAGGGCACTTGTGGAACTGATTACAGCTGAAGACGAAGGTGCTAGTTATTATCATGACGATGGTGATGACACTGCAGAATCTGATACATCGGAGTGCAATGTTGATAGACGCCATTGAAAATTATAATAAATAAATGCTACTCAACAACTATGATTTTTTTTTTTTTGCTTCACAAAATGTAACTATTTTAATAAGTATGTATGGCAACCCTAAGATGACAGTCGAAAATGACGTTCTGTTGAAAACACTTTATAAAAGTTTTATTATCGATTTATATCGATTTTACTGCTTAAATGCTAAAATCTCATTGTAAGTTAATAAATTTATCTACGATGCTTGCATCTTTTAAGGTAAAATGAATCTTATTATATTAATAATAGTAGGTATTTGATAACGAATCAAACTATTTTTATCTTCGTGTAGTTAACCTTCCCTATTTATCGTTTTGCGACAAATTATACCGGCTATAGCAGCCGGTATTAGGTAGTTTTTAGAGATAAGTGCAAAATTGGTTTTCTACGTATAGATAAATTGTAACTATTATTCAACAAATCAAAATATATTTATGTATGATTTTTCAGAGAAAATCGACTAGATCTTTATTTGGACTATATCGTTGTGTTCATAACAAACACATACTTATTCAGGAAAATGATGGAACAAGAGAAATCACATTAATTCATGAAAAAACGAAGTTTGTACAATTAATTATAAATTTATATTTATAGATGCAGTAAATATGTACTACTTATTCCAAATACCTTATTTTTTGTTTATATATAGGAACTCATTGTCAATAGATATGATGAACTATCTTATAGAGGCTATAAATGAGAATAAAGATGATGTATCATTGAGAGCTATAATTTTATCTGCCAAAGGCAATGTATTTTCTGCTGGACATAATCTCAAAGAACTAGTAAGTACAATACTTGTATAATAAAATTTATTTCATATTATAATATCTATTCCTATACCACATAATATATTAAAGTATGTACCATTTCCCTGATACACAGCTTTAGTTTTATTTTTAGCAGTCATCTGCAGGAATAAAGCAACATGAAGTAATATTCAGGAAAGCTACAGAACTAATGAAGTCCGTCATACAAAGTCCTGTACCAATAATTGCTAAGGTAATGAAACCTCTAATTAATAGTATATATGCTTGCAACACCTAAATTACTTATTATACTTTGTCAAATGAAGGATTATTGGATGTGTTTCGACCATCTACTAGTAGGAAGTGTTTGTTATAAAATTTAGTATGACACACTCCAGAAAACAAAGTTATACAATTTTTTGGTAATAAATGGCGTCAATTTGCCGTAATTTCAAAACTAGATTTTTAGTTTGCATAGATGAGAATAATTTTTAAAATCACACCTCAGATGTAAACCTAATATAATTTTCTCCAAACCTGACAAAAAAAACTATAAAATTCATTAAATAAAAAACAAATTTGATAATTAACACTTGACTGCTGAAAAAATATGCCCTTACAAGTATGAAAAGTGAAAATATTCTTATCATGAAATTGTTTGGCATAGTCATGTTCATATGCTAAAATTATATATTTGTTTAAAATATAATTTTTGTTCTTGCTAACACAGGTAAATGGATTTGCAGCAGCAGCTGGTTGTCAGTTAGTTGCTACATGTGATATGATTGTATGCTCAGAAACAAGCAAATTCTCAACACCTGGGTAAACATTGTACCTACTTCTTATACTAGTAAACATTGTATAGCTAAGTAGCTGAATCCATAAAATGTCACTTCTTTTACATAGCCAAATTTAAAATATATTTTTTTCAATTTCAGTGCTAATTTTGGAATATTTTGCTCAACTCCAGGTATAGCTATTGCAAGATCAATCCCTAAATCACAAACGACGTACATGCTATACACAGGTTGTTACAAGTTTATTTACTATTTCAATATAGTAGATAGATTTCGCATATACTTTGCATAACTTAAAATTATATTATTCAGGTGAACCTATAACGGCGCAAAAAGCGTATGAAATTGGTCTTGTGACGAAAGTGGTACCTGCAGAACAATTAGACATAGAAGTTAATGAAATCATAGAAAAAATTAAACACAAAAGCCGCAGTGTTATAGCACTGGGAAAAGAATTCTTCTACAAACAAATTGACTTAGATCTTTTAGAAGCCTATAAATTGGGTGAGAAAATAATGGTAGAAAATATAAATAGTGGCGACGGACAAGAAGGAATTAAGAGTTTTGCTGAGAAACGAAAACCAAGCTGGAGTCATAAATAAATATTAATATGTTGCAAAACTTTTAAATTAGTAGAGTAGAATAAAACATACTTCATGTATGGGTTAATAAACATTGTGAATTTCGCGTTTTTACGCAAAACTGACCCTTGGATTTTTTAAAATATTCTCACGATATTTCTGTTCGTATTTCAAAACGCAAAACGCAGTGGGAATTGAATGTGAGACTATGAAATAATAAAGTATTTTTACACAACAAAGACTCTTTGTCCTTAAACTGTAAGGATTTTTCTATTTAAACAATAAGTTAACTATCTGTATATATCTCCTTTATACATTGTTATAAAATTTTTATATTATATTTTGTTACATATAAACAATGGAATAAAACACATTCCTTAATTACACCTAAGTTTTATTTGCCACTATCTTATAACGTTTAACGTATTTCAAAAGCTGAAATTTATGGTAATGAAGCACACGTATAAATCACGTTACACGATATTAAAATATTATTTGGCCAATAGGACATTTTACACTATATACATTGTATCGAAATTATACATTAAATAGATGATTATATTAAAGTTGTTATGACAATAAATATTCACACTATAGCCTGAGACCATGACCAAATACAAAACGCGTAAATATAATTTATATGTTATTTTTATTATACTGATAATAGTAAACAAAGTGACGATCTATTTGCAGGTCTACTCTAGATTTAAGCATATTATCGATTCAATCCAATCCAGCTATATAATGTACTTTGAACTGCAACTAAGCGTAAACCGTTTCTAATATTTAACTAATATGTCACAAGTTTACAATTTTGAGTTCAAAGTTGGGAAAGCCAATTCTTTCTACCCAATCCGTTCCATTTAGCATTTATATTCAAATTGAGATAATATACAAATAAAAGGGATAACCCTGGACAATTTACTCAGGACCATCTAGTCCCAAGCTAAGAAGAGATTATATTATACTAGTAAATATATTTTTGTTTAATACCGATAATGATTATCGGTATTTAACTATACTACTAAATATACTTTTAAATATAAATGTATGTATGTGTATGTTTGGAATTAAACCAGCGACCTTCGGAAGTAAGGCGATGTGCTAAACTGCTAGGCCACCTGGACCTTCATGTCATTTTATTAACACAGAGCGCGTCATAACTGAATATGTAAAATTATATAAGTAACTGTTATGTGGCATTTATTCCAACTGCTTTTATTTCCAGAGTAGACCAGCTGGTAACCATCACTATTAACAATAATAACACCATTACAGAACACACTCTTGATGTCTGAGATGAAACTAGCCATTTTAAATATAAGCATAGTTCTCAAATTACCACTTCATGACAGAAATTAGTGATAGTGTGTTACCTACTCTGGAGTCATGCAAAATTCTACAAAACTATTGACATATACTCAAGTCCACTTAGTTTTGAAAATTTATAATGTTTTGTTACAGCCATAAAATGGAAATGAGAAATATAACCTGGATATAAAACAAGGGCACTGACTGCAATTTTTAACTAACAAGTTATGCAATACAAAATTAGTTTAAATGAGTTAATGCTAAATACATCTAGCCTTTAGGAATAATAAATATAGTTTAAGAATTCACATCAAATAAATTTTATTGTCACTATTACCAGTTATCGGTTCATATGCTTGTAAGCATGCATTAATATTGGTTGATAATACAATTATACTATGATGTATTACCATATTGTGCACAAAGTTATTTAGAAACACTTTTCATATAAATGTAAATAACATTAACTATAAATCACACTATAAACAAATTGATACAATTATCTTTTTCTTCTTAATGTATGAAATAAGAGAAAACTATTAATTGCAAATTATATACCTTTATTATAAATAAACTTTAGAATAAAAATAGGTCAATCAACAATTTTGTCTGGATGTTCCATTCTATATTTTATTACTAAACGAACTTCAAGATAATATTGAAAAAAGACCTTATGGACCTTTTACCACCAGTTAATAAAACCAAAAAGCAAACAAACCATATGCATGATCTATTATCTCTAATATTTCATATAAAAGATTTTTAATGTTCACTTCAATCTACATGATTCAATTTTCATATATAAATGATGATGATGGTTTTAAACATTAATTGTAATAATAAGAGGGAATAAACAATTTTGGGTGATAAAAGACCCTATTACCTAATACTATTAATTACATTCTTTTTCATAGTCTTTTAGATAGAATTGTACAACATTCACAGTGTTGGAAGTCATCAGTCAATGTGGGAATGTGCCTCGTACTGGTTCCCTGGGACTATTTGTTAAATTGAATCTCACTTCTTTGCCAGTTCATTTGAAAGCCAGTCTAGACCTTCATATAGACCTTGTCCTTGGGTTGCACATGTAGCTTGAATATACCACTGATAACAAAATGAAAACATTTAAGTCAGCACATTACATGTTAAAACAAATTATGAACATTTATTATTAATTTTAAACAGATAATTTGTTAATGCTACATTGAAAACTAACTTATACATACTAATTATGCATATGTAGTCATCCCTTCAACATTTTAACTTAGATAAAATAGATTATTTCATTCTTATTTATTGATAACTAATGTTTCCTATAATTAATTTGCTTACTAGTATTAAGTAGTCAGATTTTCCCCTACTACAAAAATCATGGAATCCTATTATTAAAAATTTTCATTACATTTGCCTATATCATATTTATATATACATATTACTATTACTATTATCTACACAGGTAAGCTTTGGGCATTTTGGCAGCCAAGCAGTTCGCCTTCTCTAGGGTTACAGGGTTATACATGATAATGCAAATTACCACTAACACACAATTATAAAAAAATCACATTACTACCTAATAAAATGATAGTAAAATAAAAAGGATCTATATATAAGAATACTTACACGGCGACTCCTGAGGCTGTTTAAGTTTAGAGCATTAGTAAGTTCAGCAGCCGTCATAGCATTTGGCATATCTTGTTTATTCGCAAACACTAAAATAACTGCATCCTTTAATTCATCCTCCTTTAGCTAAAATAAATAAACCACATCAATATTACTTACTTAATTATTCAATATAATAGTTATTGAAAGTCCATTACACATAATTAGTTCTTAAGAATTCAATATTCTTTGCTATGTTTTTACTATATAATAAAGTGTTGCAAATTATTATTTAAGATGCAACTATTTTACAGTAATCAATAATATTATTATTGATATTGATTAGTACATATTCTAATACTATATTAAACAAAATGGAGTATCAATTTTCATAAGTAATCACTACTAAGAAATTATTCAAAACGTTTCTCACTCATATATGGGCTTTCAAAATTAATAAAGAATAGAAAGAAAAAATTGTTTATTGGCACAATATGACACAAGTAAATTAATTATTGATATTTGCATATAGAAAACCTATTTGATAGCTTTTGGGTTGAAAAGACTGATAGAAGAATGATGTAATACTAAATTTATTGTAATTCATAGGTGAATGATTAATCAATGATTAACTAGCAGGTCACAGCATAAAACTGACAAGTATTAAATGAAATAATTTTAGTATGTTACTGGACAATAAATTAATAGTATTAGAAGTTGCATGATACCTATACTGAATTCCATTAGATTACAATGCAATTTGCTATTGTATCAGTTACAGTTTATTGTGAAAATTATAAACTAATTGTAATATATGTAATTATATATATAACATACCATGTTGGCAAGTTCCTCTTCAGCCTCAGCTATTCTCTTAGTATCACTTGAATCAACTACGAAAATAAGCCCTTGTGTGTTCTGATAATAATGACGCCAGAGTGGTCTGATTTTGTCTTGGCCACCGACGTCCCACACCGTGAAACTAATATTTTTATATTCAACAGTCTCAACATTAAAACCAATGGTCGGAATTGTAGTCACAATCTCGCCTAGTTTTAACTTATAAAGTATAGTAGTTTTGCCAGCGGCGTCAAGCCCAACTGTAATAAAAAATATCATTAAATATATTTCAACATAAATGAAAACAATAAAAAGACAATGGATACAAATTCTACGCAATCTTTAAACGATGAGCTGTCACTCACCCATAAGGATACGCATTTGTTTTTTGCCGAAGAGTCTGGTAAAGACACTTGATATTGTTAAACCCATATTTGTATGTAATCTGAAATACAAAAATTAACAACTTCACGATCTAAACTTGTCAAAAAAAATAACAAATATTGTAGATTTATAAGAAATAAAACAAATAGATGTTTCTGAAATTGGATTCCGACTGCTATCTTTTTTTGTAACCACATGGATAGTGAAGTGCAAAAGAAATCGATTATACGAAAACTAATAGTTATTATTACTATAAATTAAAAATAATAGAGAACCTTACCAAATAACTGCAAATTCTTAAGTAATGAGAAGCTTTTTAAAAATGCTATAATAATAACAATCGCAAAATAATGCACTTTTATAAAAAGAAGTAGTAACGCGTTATAATGTTTGGATAGTCTGATGCTTATGAAACAGCTTTTACTTGTTTATATACTATTTTCAATTCTATTGTTCACTTGCTTTTAAGTCCAAAAGCTACTACATATTTTTTAAGTTATCACAACAAAATATTTGTAAAGAATGACGTGACAACATGAATTCTCAATTACACGTCATCACATCCCAATTTATTGTAAATATGCTTATTTTAAATATTTATTGTCAAATACGATAAATCATACACTTTTTTACTATTTTGTTACTAATTTTAATAATTATTGTAATAAATTTTCTATAATGTTTCCATTTATTCATAAAAATACTTATTTAGTGCTTGATATGAATACGATTAATCGATTATACTCTTTTATCGATAAGTCTTCATTATATTTTTTATTATGATTATGTATTAGTATTATAATATGAAACAGACGTAATATAAATAAATAATTGACATTTGTGATAAGTAGTACTATTAGTTTGTATATAAGTATGTAAGTAAATGACATGTACTTGGTTCACAGGTCCTTTAAAAAGTGCGTCTACTTGAATAAGAGAAATAAATGGATGCAATGAAAGAACGTAAACTATATTGTATTTTTTTAGGATTCAGGAATTATAATAAATTACATTAAATTTTTACGTGACTAGTCACAATATATCACGGATCACCATCGGAGGAATAATATAACTGTTTTATGTAAAAAACATATAATCAAATAAATTTATATTATAATCGGCATTGATTATTCTATGATCGAATTCAAGTTATACTTTATAAACTTTGTACATGAAGGACTAAAATTAGTATGTTTTGTAAAAAAAGTATTCAAAATCATATATTTAAAAAAATAGTAGTGTTGATTAGGCACTGGATATCGTTCCACTGCTGTGAACCCAGGGCTTCTGACGTGGACACAGATATATGAACTGAGAACGTATCTCTATATATTATAATTATAATATATAACTAACATAGTTTATGAGTTGTTTACTAACACAATATGTATGGAATGTATGAATTAAATAAATAAACTGAAATGTTAAAAAATTTTCTCTTACAGACATTGAATATTATGTGTTTTGTCATTTAAGTGATTTATTTATCTATGTAGTTTATATTTAAATCTTATGAGAAATCAATGTCTTTAACTGTTATAGAATAAATTTGGTAGTGATAAAGGTGGAAATGGATCACTAGACAATGTTCGTGTATACAACATTTTTTCCCGCTTATGATGAAATTAAAAGTAATAATATGTTAATGAAAAGTTTTAATCGAATCAAATAGTAAGGACTTAATCTGAGTTAAAATCGGTAGTTGATGGAATCTCTATTGAGACTTCTCAATTCTCATAGACAATCAAGGTTGTCAAGGTGAGATTGTCAAACTGGCCAAACCAACTGTCAAAATAAAAAATACTGTCATAATCTATGGTTGCTAAATGTATGTAGAATCTGATCCTGACGTAATATGATTTTTTTTTATGTTGTGTTTGTCGTGTTAACCAATAGGAGTCTGATTAGAGTTTACTGTCATGCGTCGTCATAGAAACGAATTATTTTAGAAAAACTTTTATATTTCCGGATTCGACATGGATATTAATGAAGGTAAGAGTTTATAATAATTATTTTGGTAACAATTGAATATCTCGTAGTGATAGTAAGTGACAATGAAGCGTTATTCCTTTAAAACATGTATGTAAGTTAACAGGTTCGCTTTGCGATATTTGAAGATTCTATCTGCCTCTTGTGTGACCCTGTAAAAGATCATGTAATGAAGACCTTCCTTGCTGGTAGTACCAGCAGTAATAGATATAAGTAATAGAAAAATTACTAAAAAAATTCAATGAAAAAATTTTTGTAAAACATTAATTGATTATTTCAATTATCTATATTCATAATAATTCTATCTAAATTCTACAAATCAGAGTCTAGTTAGGCATCTATTTAATTAAATATTTTCCCAAGCGTGTGTATTTTTAAATACTTAAATATAATAGTAAAATTTTTGGATTATTTAAATAAGAAACTTAAAAAGAACAATAAATGTGGGGTTCTAAGCATTATATTAGTTGATTTTTGTAAACCTATATTCTAAAAATATAAAATACTTTTTTAATATTCATACATTATTAATTTCATAAAAAAATATTACAGTGTTTATATTAAAAAATGCTAAAAGAATACACTAAGTAAACAAACTATTGAAATAAAAAAAACAGTAATAGCCTTTGGTGTAATAGTAGTGTGATAAAACATTTTATCAAAAAAATATAATTATGTGTAAACAATGTAAATGTGCATGTCAAATGAATTATTTAGTATGGATGGTGCATAAAACATTATTGTTTTCAATTTCAAATAAAATAAATTTAGTTGAGTGATTGATAAATAAGGTCTTTTGTGATTATTCTATCAGGTTTATCATTGGTGATTGATATGTCGCCTATAACATCGAATTAGTGTGTCACATATATAACATAATATATGAATCTTGCCTACAACTTTACTGTATTTTTTGACATAAAATTAAATAGCTGAACAGCTTTTAAGAAAATGTAACAAACAGAGAAAAGTAATTTAGTTTTTATATATAATATTAATATTGGTGGGTACAATTTATTGATATAGATACAAAAAGTTGCAAATTTTTTGTAGTTCATTTTGCAATCCACACTTACTATGTTTTTCCAATACAAAATTTTGTCATGATTGAAGACATTTATTTGTGAAACACAAAATACTGATGTGAACTCAAATTTTTGTATAGTGTCATGTGTTTTCTATTATTTATTTAATTCAACCATTTTTATACTCAACTACCATTAGCTTCTAAATAAAGCATTATTAAAATATATGGTAAAGTTGAAACCCTGCATTGAAATAAAAATGCATTATAAGGAAACCTATATTATTATTTATGGTGCAATGGCTTCGCCCAAGTGTACATGTATTATACATATAAACATTCCTCTTGAATCACTCTATTAAATTATTAAATCTATTAAAAATAATTGCATAGTATTAAAGATTTAAGCATACATAGGGACGGACAAACAGTGACAGCAACTTTGTTTAATTCTGTGTAATGATTATATTCAACAATAACATTTTTACTAGTTTTTTATTTTTTAATAATAATTGTGATAATAGGTTTATTTTCTTCTTAAGTGTTAATTATGAAACTGCAGAGCAGTTTGTTCGCAAGATAAACCCATATGTTTTTTATGTATACCCATATTATTTACCCATATGTTTTTTATAAAACAATGTTTAATATTATTTCTGGAGAACAGTGCACTTTATCCTGAAGCTTACTAATAAAATGAATTGCATATCCAGAACTTTAAGTTCTATAGTTATATATTTATAGTAATGTAGTAAAATTTTACTGATATTCTGACTACTGGCAACGAAATGAGGATGAACAGGTAGGTAGTGTCGCGCATTAATATCAGACTAAACAAATGTATAGGTAATCCTAGCGATGAACAATGTTGTATTGAGCATAAGGCGACCAAAACAAATATGGTGGTCAATGTTTTATCGCTGTATTTATGGCAGTCATTCCCAACCATTTTTGAAGGTCACTTGATATTTTTTATTATTATCCTAGACCACATATTAAAGATTTATTTAATCTATAAATAAATTCAATATTGACGTATTTAAAAAGACCACGTACTAATTCTTCGGCTTATCTCATACTAGTATCTACCTGCGACTTTGTCTAGTTTTTTAATAAGAGATAGTAGGTATATATCCTTCCTTGTGGTATAATCTATTATATCTTCTTCCAAATTTCATTGCGATCTCTTGTGAAAAGATAAAAAACGAACAGATAGACACTCTTTCTCTTTTGTAATATTAGTAGGTATAGATTGCGTTGTCGATCACTGCTAGTTACGTTTGATATTATTTATCACGTAATTTAAATTAAAATGAATTAATTGCTTGGAAAACTAAATCCTGTTCAGGACCACATTTTAGATCTGACTGAACTCTTTTTATATACTACTATAGTGACAAACAAGCGTACGGTCCATCTGTTAGTAAACATTTACCGTAGCCTATGTACGCCTGAAGCACCAAGGGTGGTAACCAACCCAATTGACCATTGGTGTTCTGCGGACCATTGGTTGGGAACTACTGATCTATAGAATGTAGTGTATGCAATGTCGCGCAATAAGGCTAGGATTGCGTCATAAGTCGAAGGTGTTTCGCTAGTTTGCGATTGTAGAACAAATAACATGCCGGTCGTGCTTAGTAATGCCACAGAATACCTAATAGGTAATGCCTTTATCGAATTGTTGTCGATAATTACTGCAACACGTAGAGTAAACAATAATAGATATCAAGGACGGACAAATATTGAAGCGTAAGTATTTATCTTTTGACGGCCTCCATGCTCATGAGGTTTAGCACATTGCCTTACTTCCAATAGTCGCACGTTAGATTCTGCGTATGATACAAACATTCGTATTCATGAAAATGATTGTTTGTATTGTCCAGGTAATAACATAACCTGGACAATACAAACAATCATTTTTAACCGATTTTAATAAAATATTCATACCGATTTAAAAGAAAATATATAAAATACTGCTTCCATACGACACCGAAAGTCCCAAGCAATTATAATAAATAGGTGTATATTTTTTTAGGACACACACATAACTGAACCTTTTGTATGATGTAATTTTAGCTCCATAGTTCATTATGAAATTTCTAGCCTATTTTATAACCTCTTGTAAAAAAGCAAAAATATAGTTTATAAATTAAATATGACGGTAAAACAAAACCTC